TCGACCAGTCCACGCGCAACCCTTCCCAGATGGCTGAGAGTCGGCGGTCGTCGCGGGCAGACTCGCGAAGACGCGCGCCAAACTCGGGGGCGCCGGCGCTGCCCGCCCGCGCGCCCGCCACTTAAAACGCGTCTTCCACGAGATCTCGTAAGCAGCGGCCACCGGCATCCCCACTGATTAGACAGCACAGATTGCTGCGATCCAGGCCCGAGACCTTGACAAAGCTGAATCGACCACCTTCGGTGCTCCGCCAGGTCGCAGACGCACGGGGGCCTGGTCTCCACCCTGCCCGCGTGACCCGTCTTGGCAACCCTCGGCGCCGACACGTCGAAGCCCACGTTTCACTGAGACAGCCACGACGCTGGCAGCATTGAGCGCGCTCCTGAGAATTCATTCAGGACCGATTGCCACTTGGCGTCGCGAAGAAGTCATCCTGGCGATGACGCCGGCGTCGGCAACGCCGAGCCGCGGGGCGTCTTAGCCGCAAGGTTGCAAATAATCTCCGACTTGCATCCATGCTCGATCGCGCGGCGTCGCGATCTGACGGGTAACTCCGCAGCCCAAAGTCAACAAACCATCGTGAATTACCTAGGCGGCAGATCTGATCGGCGCCTCGGTAGCCGATGGTCACAACACCGCGTTGAACATCCCATTTGAAGGCGGCGGCTGGCCCACTCCAGCCGCGCGGGGCCGGGTGGAAGTCGACGAGCTCGCCGGGCTGGCAGGCCGAGATGCGCTGGAGACTGGCAAGGGTCTCCGAGGCGCGATTGATCCGCGAGACGGCTGCGATGCCTGCGGACCCATTGCAATGGGATCTCTCGTAGTCGGCGAGAACCGCGCGCGCGGCGTCGCCTGGGAGCGCCAGCACGTCCGCCAGTGCCCTGAGCTGTCGGCCGAACCTTGCGTCGTGAGGAGTGGCGGCCCCATGCGACAGTAGTGAGTTGCTGACATGCGCTGCCTCGGATTAGAGTCTGGGCACGGTGCCTCGTTGACACTAACCCCGAAAATCTTCGTCAACAGAATGCATGGCGCGGCGGAAGATCGCACCGCGCGCCGGTCTGGGGCTCGCGCTCGGACCGCGATACCATGTCGACCGAATGGCGTAAACTCCAAGAATACCGCGCGCCCTCTACGGCACGCGTCTGAAGGCTCCGAAGATAATTCTAACGCGAGCACAGGCGGTTGATGGCTGAGCACAAGCGCTCGGAAGATCGACGCCCGGAACCGCTGGCTTCTCCTTCGAACAGCCGCGCTGCGCGCCACCTGCCAGCAGCGTCGACCATGCGCCAGATGGATCACCCCCGCCACTTCCCGGTCGGGAACCGCGACCAACTCAGACGATGGCGTTGCTTGTCTGCGACAACTTGGAAGATTGAGCGCGGGCAGCGGGCTGCGCGGGCAGCGGGCCGCGCAGGGTGCCACCAGAGGACTTGTAGAGTACGCATTCATCTTCGTAACTGTGGTGCGCGGCGCGGAAGCTCGTCCAATGCTCTGATGCGCGCCCAGCGGCAGCGTCCACGACTCGCGAATGTGGTCGACGTGCTCCAGGAGGCCCCGGAGCGGCGGGCCCCAGCGGGATTTGGCGGCGGCGGCGGTCGCTCGTCGCCGTCAAAGAGATCATTGCGCATTGGTGCTGGTGGTGCTGGGTCGTCGACGGGGCCCTGATGTGGTGGGTTTCTGTCGGTGTCAGAACTCACCTAGGACCCAGGGGCACCTGCCGCGGGGTCGCGAGCCTGCCCCACTCGAGCCTCGCGGGGAAAGGCCCCGCGTTAGCCGGCGCGACGCTCACGCGTGGCTCTGGCGGGCCCTTCAAACCGGAGGCATTCTCCTGGATGCCTAGCGCGGCGAGGACAAGCTCGGTCGCACGGCGACGCACGCAGCTGAGGCAAGAGCGCGGCGACTCGATCCCGGTGGGACTGCGCACTTCCCCGGGCGTCCGCGGTCTGGCGCGCCCAGCGCAATGGCCGCTCGCTCGGCAACTGGGGCTGCCAAGGGAATCTGGGTGCAAACCGCCCGAGTCGAGGCGCCCGATGGCTTTGGCCGAGCCCGAGACTTGCTCGCCGGCGTTGGATCGGCCGCCGGCGCTGGCGGCGGCGGCGCTTCTACGCGCGATATCCCGGATGGCATTTGAGCGGATTCGCGATGCTGTGGCCGGGCACACAGAGCTCGGCCACAAGGGCGGCCGAGCTATTCGCCGAGACCCCGAACGCAACAATGCCTTGGACCGCGCTCTCTGCCAAACGCCAGGGCCGGACCTGCAGCCGTCTCGGCGCGTCGACTGCGGCCCCAACTGCAAATGCAAACTGACGTCGCGGTCGCGATTGCCCGGGCGCCGCGAGAACCGAAACAACGCGAACAAATGCGGCGCCTTGGCAATGTCCAGGGGGAGTTCGGCTGGTAGGCCTCTCGGGCCCTCGGCCCCTAGCCGGCGCCGGCCGAGCACCGCCGCGCCCAGCTGCGGGCGTTGAGATATTTGATTCCAAGGCGGCACGGCTTCGAGCCGAGTACGGCTCGAACGTTCGACCAAGAAAATACGCCCCCCAGCACCCGAGCAATCGCCACCTGGCCGCAGACCCGGAGGCATGGAGAGCAACCCTCGTGATCCGCCCTCCAAGTCTCATTACTGAGACGATAATAAAAAAATGAAGGTCCAATGCCGCGGCACGATGGCGCGAATACCGCTACCAGAACACTGTTGGACCTGAGGTGCCGGAAGGAACGTCGATATTTTTGTGGGTCGCCCAGGTCGCAATTGGACACCATGTAAAAATTCCCGCCCGCTGTGAGCTGACGGCGCAGGCGATCCGTACGACGCGAGCTTCGCCTCCGCAGAACTCGCCAAGAGCCATAATTACCTTGGCCCCTGCTGGAGGCCATGCAACGGCGCGCTGCATGCCACTGGCGTGGCAAACCAAAATTTGAAACGCGGTCGGTCCCCGAACCGCGGTCCCGGCCACGAAAATTTCAGCCATGCGCTCGTCGTCCGAGAGCAATCTGGCCTGCGCAATATGCACGTGTTGTCCCAACTTTGCTAATTCTTCGACCGTTCCGAACGTCGCCGAAGGCGCCCTCGACGATCTTCTTGCGCTCGGCTCGCATAGCTTCTTCCGCGGGGAGGGCCACGGAGACAGCGGGGGCGATCGTACTGAAATTAGTTCGGGATGCCCACTCGCAGGGCAGGGCTCCGCGCGCCATTGCTTGCCGCTGCGATCTGGAAGTGCCAGATAGACAAACTCCTGGATCACGAGCTGGGATCATGTGCGCAACTCGTGTGGGTGCCAGGCCTGCGATTGGGTCGGGACATTGGTCCGCGCAGGCGCAAAGGTTGGGCGCCCGAGTTATCCGGGGCAACTCGGGCCCGGGGCAACTCGGCTTCGGATTCCCGACAAACGAACCCGAGTTAGCCCTGACCCGAATTATCCCTGATGATCTGGGGCTCTGGACGCCCGAGTTATCCGGGGCAACTCGGGCCCGGGGCAACTCGGGTTCGGATTCCCGACAAACGAACCCGAGTTAGCCCTGACCCGAATTATCCCTGATGATTTGGGGCTCTGGGCGCCCGAGTTATCCGGAGCAACTCGGGCCCGGGGCAACTCGGGTTCGGATTCCCGAAAAACGAACCCGAGTTAGCCCTGACCCGAATTACCCCTGATGATTCGGGTCTCTGAAAAGGGGCCGGCTCGGAACATCGCGTGGAAGCCGGCCACGGTGCTCCCGTCGGAATCCGAAGGCCAAACTCGCAGTCGGCGTCGCGCCCGCACTGGCAGGAGGTGGCTGCTCGCACTGGCGGTCGGCAAACCTCAGGAGGCACTGCTGCCTCCATTCGGGAGCGGCCAACAGGGGGGTGTCCAAGAGGGGGGGGGGTGCAAATCATGACCGGCGGCATGTGCGCGACCCAGCGGGGGGGCCAGGGACGTAATGAAATAAGAAGAGGCTCCATAAAATGTGGGGAAATATCATGGCCCCCGCCATGATATCCACCCCCCCCTAGTCATCACCCCCCTCTTTTCCGCCCCCGATCCATGGGTTTGCATACCCCTGCACCGGGCCACCCCAAAAGACGGTGCACCCACAAGGTCACCTGCGGTCATTGACATTGGCCTCGTCGCGCCCGTGGGCGAGGTGAACGAATTACCGTGAGGTTTGAAACATATTCATAAACACAAGCTGTTCAAGGAATCGAAAATAGTACGGTACCAAAGCGGAGGGCGAGGGAAGTGCGAACGTGCGTCCACATCGCATTCTGCGCGTCTTCCGTGGATCGCGATCTGGGGTTGCCCCCAGCTCCGGTACCAACTAGAATTGCGGGTGGTGGTGGCTGGTAAGAGAACGTGGCGGCGGTAAAGGTAACCGTTTGTTGCTACATCAGATGCATGCGTTCTGCGTCTGCCACCCGTATTCGAATTCGAGTGGAGGGAAAGAAGAGCGAAGGGTGGGCGTGAGCAGCCCGCACATCCGACGTATTGTTGTTTCCCCATCCGCGTGGAAAGGACGAGGGATGGATGGAGGAGGAAGGTCTGTCATTCGTGAGCGCACCCGTCACTGCTCGGCGGCTGATGAATCAGCTAAACAAGGAGCCAAAGAGTACGAGGACTGGGTCGGACCGGGCACCAGGTGGCCGTGGTCATCAGCCGCCAGAAGACTCTTGAATGCCCCGGAAAACCACACAAGACCCGCAAATGTTACAAAGTCCTCCTCCTCCTCCTCCACCTCCTCATCCTGAGTCTAAGCCTACGAATACCTGCCTGCCAGTGCCCGCGAAGACCTGCAAACGCCTCCGAAGACCGCTCCAGACATGAGAAACCTTAGAAAAAGCACTGCAAATCGAAACCGAAAGCCTAACCAGCCTCGATCTGATCCCGGTCCCTAGAAACGACAAGCCCAAGGCGGTGACAGTCTAAGTGATGTGCCACCCGAAACTGAGGGATTCCTTGAGGTTGGCACCGAGGTAACATGATACCAACCATTGGGCTACGGAGACGTTTCAAGCTGGTAAAAGCCCGCCTCGGCAGGTCGCTGCAGGCCAGCCCGTGCGCCTGGACGCGGCTGTGGGGCCAATGCACCTCCAGCATCCTGTGGGGCGGCGCCCCCCGACGACGACGACGACGACGACGACGACGACGACAAGGGGGAAGGAGACGAGGAGAAGCAGGAGGGGAAGGCTTCCCTCTTGCGCATCCCCCCTCCTCCACATGCTGTGCGAACTCCCTCCCTCCCTGTCTCCTGCCAATGTCCTCCTCCTCCTCCTCCTCCTCCTCCTCCTCCTCGTCCTCGTCCTCCTCCTCCTCCGTTCCCGTTTTGCTTCTGCTCCCCCTCATCCTCCGCCTCCCCCTCCTCTCCTCCTCCTCCTCCCTCCTCCTCCTCCCTCCTCCTCCTCAGCCTCCTCCTCCTCCTCCTCGTCCTCCTCCTCCTCCTCGTCCTCCTCCTCCTCCTCCTCCTCTTCCTCCTCCTCCTCCTCCTCCTGACCCTCCTCCAGCATCCTGGGAGAGAAGGAAGAGGCTCTGGGAGGCCGAGGAGGGCCCTGAAAGCGCAGAGGGGGATGCAGAGGGGCGCTCCTCAGCGCAGGGACTAGTCCGCGAAAGGAGGAGGGGGGAGCAAACGCAAGGATCGGGCCGGGCGAAAGGGGGGGATAACAAAGGGGGGGGGGGAGAATCAGCTCCCGTAGCTGATTCTCCCGGCGCCTCCCGGCGCCGGGAGGCGCCCATGTACCGAGGAATGGGCCCGGCGGCGGGGCCGAAACCAGCTGCATGCAGCAGATTTCATAACCCCCCCTTTCCCAATCCCCCCCTTTCGTCTGGCCCGAAAGGAGGAGGAGGCCTTCAGTTCATCACTAGCGTGCGACCTCCCCTCGGGGAAATGAGCCCATTTCGAGGGCTGCAGCCCCACGGAGGGAGATAAGGGTCTGCATCTCGAAGGTTCCAGGGAGAAAGAACGGGCAACAGCACCACGAGGAGGAGGGGGTGAAGGAACGTGGATAACCGCATACCCAGGATAATAAAGTACCCCCCCTTAAGTCGTTAGAGTTTTTATCGTCGGCCTAGAAGGGTTTCAAATATAGGCGGAGGGCGCGGAGGCCGAACTTCATTATCACTGGGAAAGTTCGCCATCGAGGTTACTTCCTTCTTACACGTTGTTTCAGGATGTCTCAAGCGAAACCAATGTCCTTATGTGTCTGTGTAGTTCTTTATGTCTCTTGTTATTTCTTTCTCTGTCTCTCTCTCTCTCTCTGTCTCTCTATCTCTTTCTCCTCCTCCTCCCTCTGGCGCCCTGAACTTGTTTATCGCTGGGGTTGATTATCCTGGGAAAACGAGGCACGTGAGCTACCCTACACGAGCAGATGAAAATGCTCATTTTCATCAAGCGTTTACAAATCAAATATAATAAGTTTTAAACTTTGGATGTTTGCTATCTCCTTCTCCTCTCCTCCTCCTCTTGCTCTTTCTCCTCCTCCTCCCTCAAGGATGTCTCAAGCGAAACCAATGTCCTTCCGTCTCTTTGTAGTTATTTATGTTTCTCTTTCTTTCTTTCTCTGTCTCTCTCTCTCTCTCTGTCTCTCTATCTCTTTCTCCTCCTCCTCCCCCTGGCGCCCTGAACTTGTTTACCGCTGGGGTTGATTATCCTGGGAAAACGAAGCACGTGAGCTACCCTACACGAGCAGATGAAAATTTTAATGTTCAACAAGCTTTACAAATTAAATATAATAAGTTTTAAACTTTGGATGTTTGCTATCTCCTTCTCCTCTCCTCCTCTTGCTCTTTCTCCTCCTCCTCCCTCAAGGATGTCTCAAGCGAAATAAGCAATACTTTGAAGATGTCTCAAGCGAAACAGACAAAGATTGCGAGGATGTCTCAAGCGAAACCAGCAATTCGTTGAGGATGTCTCAACCGAGACAAATCATTGCTG